GTAAACTATTTTCGCAACTCGATCGAAATTTAATGGAAGCAGAGCGCATTCCTCTAGCTTTAACCAAGCACGTCTTATCAGCTGCGCTGCCAATTAAAATCTAGCCCAGTCATAGACGGATTTAATGCTATTAAGAATTTAATTAATGCCCAATCAAACTCAGCCTTTTATTCCCATTGCTTTTCTCTTTCTGGTTTTATTTTTTTGTTCGTTCACTTTTGTTTGCAAATCACAAAGGATTAAATTAATTCAGTTAATCAAGCGAAAAGATTCTTTCCGATTTGATGTCTTACTTCCCTACTCAGCTTGTCAGTTAAAAGAAAGAAAAAAAGGATTTCAAATTAAATTTGCAAAATGTCGGACATTTTATTGACGCTTGCAGCGCGAGGATTTCATATTTAGATACAGAAGAAACTTAAAACTTTTGAAAGTTCAGGGTGAGCACAGAACAGAAACAGAAACAGATAGAGAAACTCATTATAGTCGTAATTCAACAAATGAGTACAAAGCGCCCCGCATTAAAACTGACACTCAAAATTACTGAGCTAAAAGGATTAAACCATACAGCAAAGCAGCCGTAAATCCCCGAGCCGTGTAATATGTGTGTGCCAGCATACGCTCAGCTCAGCCAGGTGCAAATTCCCGACCCGGCGCTTCGGCGACTCGGCGATACTTAGAAAAGGGTTGTACCTAGAAAATAAGTGGCAACCGCTTAACGAGCTGCCAGGATTCTTGTGGCTTTAGCGAAAATGTGCGCTATGCCAGAGCCTAGCACAGCACGACGCACACACCATTTAGGGGGCCTGTGGGGGAGGGCAAACGCTGATTTATGCAAACAGCCAACGAGATGGGAGTAAATTAACGCCTCTGCAGCCCCAGAAAGTCTGCTAATGGAAGTGCCAACGACTGAAATGCCACATATCTTCTGAGGAGTACTATCTGTACCAGATTTTTTACTGCTGCCTGGCGCTAGAGAGTGTTAAGAAGGAAATTCATTTACGAAACTAGCAAATTTATGAAAGAATGCAAAGCGTCTCCAATAATCAAATGAAAGCAAACCGCGCTAAGAGAAGTTTTAAAAGATTTTCGCTCCCTTTTTTATTGCATTTGCACACAAATATAATTCATGGCAAAGTGCTCCATCAAACGAGCGCAGAAGCCTTTGTACCTTCTAAATCGAATAATCCAATTTGAAATTGTCAATATAGGCAGACCTCTTATCAAGTTCTTTTTATCAAGGATTATGCTCCAGACTGGGCATATTTATGGCTAAAGTTTTGCGCACTCTGTTTGCCTTCGGGCGTCTTCTACTTGTTGTCTGCCAGCGTATTGATATTTATTGATATACATATAATCCCTGGATTATTAATCAATTTGGTAAACAAACTGGCGTAAGTCCGTTTATATATGTATTCATTACACTTTGCGATTGTTCGAGGCATCTTAACTTTCTTTCAGCTGTCGTCGCAGGCGCTGGAATTAATGTCAGCAGCAACAGTTGCTTTTGTCAGGCTGTGTCATCATTATGGCACTCACTTTGTTCTCAAACTGACGTCCAGACAGAGCTGCCAGCTGCATGCTTTTAGCTAACTCACAAAAGAGTTTTTTGTTTCTGCTGTTTAGCCGGCCCAGGGCTGAGTGACAGCGCCTGACGTCTGAGCGAAGACAAAAGAAATGCGAAAAGTTATGAAGGCGCGTCCACTTAAAATGCCAATTGTAATTGCAATTATATGGCTCAAGGTACGTGCCATAAAACGGTTGAATGCATAGCGAGTTCAACTCAAATAGAATGCATCGAGCGGAGGCCCAGCCTTAACAGTTGACTGGCTAAACAAGTAGAAAGTGCAAAGCACTCAACAGCTCGGCAAATGCCGTCCTTGGCCTATGCAGACAGCTGAGATCACAATAAGAAACTGCTTAAATATGAGATTAGCTTTGGGGAAATGGCAAAGGACAAAGAAAGTGAAACGAAACTGAGCCAAGGATTAGCTTTAAGTAAATAGTTTTCAATTCTTTTGCAGCTTCCACATAAATAACTCATACGCAGCGTATGCCAGCAGTGCTTGAGGCTAATCTGGCCAAATGCAGTACATAACATTTGTCTAAGCCACGTTTGTACTTATCTATATAGGCCACAGCAGCGCGTCCCTCTTGCCATACTTCCCGCTGGCATTTTTATTTGCTGCTGCCATTTTTATTTTCCAACTCAAAGGATTCACAACTTGATTTAATTTTGCGAGCGCTCGCACAGCATGATGCAAAAATTTCCACACATTGTCGCTGCCATATATATAGCATATAGTCGCTGATGCCAACGCATGACTCAGCGCGAGTTGCAATGCGAACACAGTGAGTCGCCAAAAAGAAAATATATTTATGTGAATGACACCAAAAGATAAAGCCACATTTTACAGCTGTTGATCGCTAGGCGATGTTGAAGGTGCACATCTGAAAGCACTTCTAGAGTCTGGCGTAATAATGATGTTGCCTTTGTGGCACAGCTACCAAAGCCACAGCCAGCTGCAATAACTTTCTGCCGCGTAGAACTACAATTTGGTTAGTTCTTTGATTTGGTTGGGGCTTCTGTTGTAACTACGTGTCAAATTTTTATAACTCAATTAAGACTCATCTAACAAATTGCATTTTATTTGAACTGTCTTTAAAAGCGCTTCGAGCTCTTATCAAGCACTGACGCTGTCACTCTTCGCGTGCCTCGTAATCATCTTAGTCTGGTGCTCAGTAACATATTTAGGGATTTACTCACCTTAGGTACATATTTGTGCAACTCTTGGACCGCATCAAAGCAACCGCAGCTGAACTATTACTTTCATAGCCCCAGTCAGCTGCCGTTGCCGTTGTGGATGGCCCTGCCGATGTCCTTGACAGGTTGAATGATGGCCAACAGCATCGGCTGCTTGTCTTCAGCTCTGTTTGTGTTTCTTTCTTTTCTGCTTTCATATTTACACAGTGGCCGAGTGTCTGGGCCGACGGAAGCTAAATAAATGTGGCCACAACTGAAATGCAATAAGGGAATAGATATGGACTCCATGTTGCTGTTGCCGCTGTTACTTATTCGCTTACAGGTTGTGACCACAGCCTCATCAGCTCATCGTTGCAGTGCCCGCCTGGCTTTAAGTTTATTTTCAGGCAAAAACAGAAAAAAATATAGTCATTTGACGGACGTTCCCGACTGTTGGCCATTGTCGAGCTCTGGTAGCTGAGGCGCAAATGAATTGCTGTAAACACTCGAGGCGCCACTCTGTTGCCGTTGCAAGTGCTTTCTGTTGATTTCTACTGTTTAGAACTGCTTCCTGCTATTTAGCCGGCAGCGCTTAGACAATGGTTAAGCGTTCCCTCTGCTCAGTGGCACGCTGCCTGGCGAGGGGTTGCCCTTTTGTGTTTCATTCTTCATTGGAATATTCATTCTTTTTTCTTGCTTTTTTTCATAGAAAGTTGTCAGGCGCTGGTGATGCAGTTTTTAATTCATCTCTTGGGGAATTGAATGCACGCATTGTTCGAATACGAACAGGATGCCGTAGCAGGATATTGCGACATTTGGGTAAATACTCAGCAGCGCTCGTCAACTACTGGCATAATTGTGGATCCTGTTGCAGCTTGTGTCACTCGCATTAATCTGGCTACCAGCACATGTTGGCCCAGAAGCATGAGCCCCTGGCTAATGACTTTGCCCAGTGGAAGGTTTATTTAAGTGCTAAAAAAGTCTGGATTCACATGCTTCTATTATATCGGACCAACTTTGTATTTAATGAACATACTTAAGCTTTAATAACTCTTCAAGGTGTTTATATTATTTTAGAATTTATGCAATATTTCTACTGCCAAAACTTTTGCTTTTGGCACAGCCATTCTGCTGTCACCAACAACTCGTCCTACAGCATCAACAACAAGTGGCAGAGGACGTCCGAATTGCTTTTAATTATGCGGCGTAGAGCATCCACAGGGCATCTTCCAGCTCTTGGCAAGCCTGACCAACGGGTCAGAGCCGGAAGGGCAGTTAGTTAGCCTCGCCCCCCAACAGAGCAACAGAGCGGAAATGAATTGTTTAAGTTAAATGCACTGTGGGGTGCTGAAAAAAATTTAATTTCTTCTATTCATTTTACTTTAGCAAGTTTAAAGTAGAAGAAATATTGCAATTGTTAAATAAATTATAGCAGATCTTATCTTTTAAGCTCTGTATAAAAAATCGTATGTGGTTGAACTTGTATTTTATATCAATTGATTTTACTATAGTCTGGGCTGTGATTGTACCTCTTTAATGTTCAGTTTCCAATCTGTTCTGTTTGTAATTTACAAAAGGTCAACTGCTGAAATACGTACTTGGAAGCAACTCTATCGTCTGCCTTTAAATATCTGCTGACAAGAGGATTATCAGCAATGAAAGAAAGCACAAAACACATAAGACTATATTTTCGTTGTCATCCTCAGAAGCTTGCCAGTCTTACATATATTCGGCATTTACTTTTGGCCAAAATCGAGCGCATGCAGCTGTCACCATATTGAGCAAGTTGCTTGCTGCTTGGTGTCAGGTCTCAGCAGAAGTCGGAACGAGCAAGGCTTTGGCAAATTTACAGCCCAAGCAAAAAGCAGAGAATGGGAATTTATTGTTTTAGTTTAGTCTGTTCACGAAACAGTTGTAAGTGTTAGAATAAAGTAGATGTTGGTTGAATAAATCTGCTGAAAGAGAATGCCAAAGATATGGCAGACAGGTAAGCAGAAGATATGTATAAGAAAATCTATCAGATATATATTTTTATAAATATTTATGTGATTTTAATGAAAATATTTTATATAAACTAAGCTATATAAATATATAAAGTAAATATAGAAAAGTAATTTGATTTTCAGTTTTCTAATCTATTAATAATGAATTTCCTTTTATTATAAATCTACTGTTTAACGCAACCAAACTGCTCAAACGCAGTTTATCTACATTACAACTTGTCCGCAGCAAACGTGTTTGTTGATCCCAATGTCAAACTCTTTGAAGGTTTGACTGTGTACACAACATGCGCACCTGTTGCACTTTGGGAGCCAACATGTTGGCGCTTAACAGAAATCAAATTGTAAGTTGATACTAAATTATAATGCACAAATTGTTATAGGCTTCAAAGTTTAAATTTTTCATTTTACCGCCGCTCACTTAAATTTTTATTAAAATTTATAAAATTTATTAATGAACGAGAAAATCTATTCACAATCTAATTGTTTGAACTGCTCACTCGCTGCTAGAACGCCACTCACTTCTGTTCTTATCTCGATCTTGGCTTTTGTATAACAAACAATAAATACAGTTTTGCATGTACATACAAATACATATACATATAGATATATATACAGCAATATACTAATCAAAAGCTTAGATTAGATTATGAGGGCTCGGTTGCGAGGCACCCACTATGTAGCCCTTGGCAGTGAGCACGCTGCGACAGCGGACGTGCACCTGGTAGCGCAGAGACCAATCGATTGTATAGCCGGGTGCCAAGCAAGAGAACTGCTCCTCAGCCAGCAGCAGTTCCGGATCGCTGTGTGTATTAAGTACCAATTCATGTTCGCGGCAGAATTCATTCAGTTCGTCTGGCACTACGCAGCAGGCGGCCAGATTTACCTGCGCTATGGTAGGCGCCACCTCAGCCGAATTGTATAGCTCAGCCAAAGCCTTTGTGTCAAGATCGGCAATACCCAACTGTTTGATTTGTTGCTTGAGTGCGTATTTCTCTAAGCCCTTGTAGAGTAACTTTAGCTCGGCTATGCCCTGCTCACCGTTACGTGCGCTCCAGCTGTTGGCTGCATAGCTAACGTTGGGGCAGCTACCGCAGTCGTTGCTACTGGCAACGGCCGAGACATTGGGATGGTAAGCCAGCACCACGTTGTCCACATGCGTCACATTGAGTATGTTGAGCAATGCGTCGACCGCCTGATTGATGCACTCTAACGAATTTTTGTTGAGGAATATCTTGGCACCAATGCTAATCTCATTGCGTCTATTCTCTGTAAGTCGGTTGTTCAGTTCCTGCGTAGCACAGAGCACGCGGCCATGCCGCTTGTCAATCTCAACCACCACGCTCTCGGAATTTGGATCGTTGTGCAGTGTGACTTTCAATCCGTCGTAAAGCTCCTCGTTTGACTTGCGTTGTCCTATCTCCTTGTTGATAATGTTGCCCGTGCTGATGACTACGTTCTCGTAGTTTTTCGTTATTGTTGGCATCATTCTGCTGCTGCTCACTGCTCACAATTTTACTTTTCAGCTAATAATCCGATTTGCTGATAACTGATGATTATCCCGACTGCCCTGACTATCGCACTCAGTAATATCTGTTGTTTTTTTTGGCTCGACAGCTGTGTGCAGCACTAGTGATGTTAGCACGCAATATCGATGTATATCGGCTCATCGATTATTGACAAGTCATTTGCGCAAATATCGTTTACTAATATATCGAATGAATTGAGTTTAATTATTATAATTTCATTTAATGCAGTTTAATTCTATTAGCTGCATATATTATTTAATTTTAATAATTATGTATTTATCAACACTGATATATTTTGACTCACTTAAAAAAAAGTCATATTTTCAGTATTTTTTTATTAATATTTATAACTTGTCCGCAGCTAACGTGTTTGTTGATCCTAGTGTGAAACTCTTCGAAGGTTTGAGTGTGTACAACATACGCACCTGTTGCACTTGACAGCCAACATGTTGGCACCTAACTGAAAGCAAATTGTTAGGTGATAGAAAAACACATTTATAAATAAAATATATACTTGTAATTGCGCTAGAATCAAAATCAAAATTTATATAAGCTTAAACATCCGAGTTTAATATTTCACATATTACATAATCGAACGTACTTAAAATGCACTTAAATTGTATTTTCAGTGTACATAAATCGTGTGTGACACGAGCTGTCATAAAGCAATAAGGATTCATTAAGTTTGCTAAAAGAGCGAGTTTTTCAGATAGCTGCAATGCATACATACAGCCAGCTTAAATGGCGAAAATTTATTAATGGAGCTGAAAGTACGTGCTTGTGGTGACTACGATTGGGGATTGAGACACGGCAATTTATGGGCAGCAAACTCAATTTCAATATCGAAATGTTGTTGTTCAACAGTGCAACAATTAATGTCTGACACTGTCAGCTTTTTAATTGAAATTTATGTCGGCGATTACAGTCTGAGATTAAATACGTACATGCGATGACAGCTGACGTGTTTCCCCCTCTCTCTCTCTCTCTTTCTCTCATTCTCTACGTCCACACACAAGCACTCTGGCGCTTACTAGCTTTTGCTCTTAAGCATTAGCATTGTTTGCTTAAGGAAATGACAGAGTTGAGTTGGCGTACTTACATAAGTAAGTCTGATTGTTGTTATCTGGTGTTAATTGAAAGTATAAGCCTTTAAGCTGTCAAGAGCTCATACACTAAGTTTTTATAAGCCTCAAGTTGGCTTAAAATAATTAAAAGATATAAAACTTTGCATGCAAACTAACGTATCTTTATCTGTTTCTGCATCTTTATTTTTTTCCGTGTCTTTATCTATATCTGCATCTGTATCTGTACTTGCATCTGTCTCTGTATCACGAATTCAAATGTAAAACATTTCATCATCAATTTAATGAACTGAAATTTAAAAATTTAAATTATTTCCTCAAGCAAACACGCACATTGCGCTTAACACATAATTATTAAATTGCGAAATAAAAAACAATTATCTGAAAATACCTTCAGAGCCGCACGAACTACAAACCAACTGCATAAAAAGTTTTGGCACTTTTAATGAGTGTTTCTTTGGCCACTGGCAATGGCAATTTAAGAGGTGGCAAAAAGTTTTGCCACAGCGCCCGAGGCATCATCAGCTGCTGGTCCGACAAAACATGCGCGTAATTGTGGGCGAGTGTTGAAGGAAATGAATTTTATATGTGTATAGCAATGAGTGCAAATGGCTGTTCCTTGGATTATAGACCCCACTTTATCTGAAAGCAAAGATGATGACGCCTTAGCTCTGGTATGTCCAGTAATTAATTAATGAATATCTCTTTAACAATTCTCTTTGCACAAATTTAAAAATTTATTAAATTTCACACCTAGAATCTGGTAAACAAACGTGTAATAAATTTTGCAGCAAATTCCCTAATGCGATTGCACAAACAGCAGCCACAATGCGCACCACAAACACTTTGAGAGAGAAATTGCCCGTCCAAGAAACGAACAAGCACATATGTCTATGTGTGTGTGTGTGTGTGGGTGACTGTGTATGTATGGAATATGCTACATATGCACTAAGGATATCTGATCTACCAACTGGCCAAGGAGTCCTGCTTGCCTCTCGAGCATTGTTAGACACGATTTATGGCTGCCCCGCATTGGGCAGTTATTTATTTTATTTTCTTGTAACAGAAAAACTGCACATGACGCCATATGTGGGAGCTGGCTACGTTTACAATTTTTTTCACAATTATATCATTTTCTAAGAAATTTAGTTTTATTTTGAATTAATTAGTGAACTTTGAATTGTACAAAAATAAAATAAATCTAGAGTTGACAATGAGAAGCCAGACTAAAGATTAAAAGTAAAAAACAAAATTAAAATAAAGATTAAAGTATAAAATGACTGAGTAGTAAAATTTCTGTCTAATAGCTATAATTATTATTTGCTAAATGCCTATACAAGAAATACTAGAAAAAGTATAAAATCTGCTGTTTAAGCAGTATCTTCTTAAATTCCTTCGGGCTTAAGTAACCCTAACCTAGAACATAAAAAAGTAAGTATCCTGTCCTCTAACAGTTGTCCTGGACAACTGTATCAAACGAGTGTTGCACACAGCTTGAATAACAGTAAAATGATCCTAAATATTTTTATGACTCTTGCCTCGTTATCCAATGTAGACATTCTTGAAAGGGAGTAAAATATATACTTTGGATGTTTCAATATAAATCTTATGACATTATTTTCTGTTGGATAAACGTTTTTTTCTGAAATGAAATAATAATATGAGATACTCTTATATATCTATGTAATACTAAATGAATATGCATTAGTGTGTGCAGCATCAGTTGAAGTGTCTATAAATATATAATTTATTGCCATAGCAAATTCTCAGGGGTTTATTGAATAAAAATGAAGTCTTTAGCTTGAAGCTCTTAAAGCTTTTCAGCTCAATTGAATTTCTCTGCTTTTTTTTAACTATCTCAACATTCATACATTCTACCCACAGCATCGCAGCATTCAGCTCAACCACATCTTTGATATTTCGGCCAGAGCTGTTTACTATTTGTAGGCTCAATAATCACCTCTCCAGCGTCCCGCATCCGGGCTCTCACGATGGCAGTTGAAGAAAAGGAAAAAATGTTTTTGCTAGATATTGATTTACGTTTATTGTGAATGGCGCCAGAAACAGGAAGAGGCCACCTTATCGGCAGAACCATTTTTTACAAATTACCCAGCATTTATTGGGCTGCTCGCCATAGATCAAATAGCATTGCATCTACTCTCAGCCATATTTAAGATAAATTTGTAACTTTAATAAAATTTCCAGCTGCTGGGAGTGCAAATGGCCTAGAAGTGTGTAAATTTATTTATGTTGGAAGCAGATAAGTATTGCAATTCCCGACAATGCAAAGCAAATATTATTTTGCTGAGTTTCGTCACCCTTGTCTTGCATTGGCATTTCCTGCATATTGTTTGCCCCCAAAGACTGCGTGTTGGCATTTCTCCTGTCTCTGTCTGCACAGACGTGCGCATTTGCAATAGGCATTGCTGGTTGACATTTAACCAACATCATGCATGTTTGTGTGAGTGTAGCTGTGTGTGTGTGTACGAAATGGAACGCCAGACATTCGCATCCTTTTAGCTAGCTTAAGCAGTCAGCTTCACAGTCCCAAACCTATTCTGCCCAAGCAGGCTAAATATCATTTTAAAGTGGAAGATAAAAGTTTTATGCAGCTTTTGTCCGGCTTATCTGTGGTATAAGTCGCAGAGCTTATACAAGATGCTCATGTATTCTGGATAAGTTATGCAAAAGCTGAATAGCTAACATTTAAATGAAACACGTATACTAGTTGAACAATAGAGAAGTAATAATACAAATTCCACATTCATAGTAAATACTGAAGCAATTTTCAATACAAAGTAACTTAGACAATCTCCCACCTCTTAAATTCTCTCATCCATCCATGCTAACCAGCTAAGCCAGCCCAAAGCAAAGTCCGAAATTCCAGCGGCTTTCGCTTTATTAGGCCCTTGTATTAACAAAGCCTTGCATAGTAAATATAAAAATAGTTTTGGAAAACAGCAAAAATAAAATGTGAAGCAGACAGTGCATTATTGTTGTGTAGCCAACTCGACCTGGGTCGAGTTTACGTGCTTGTTATGCCAGGTAAAACTTATGGGAATGTAAGTCAGAAAGCTTACGGAAATCCGCTTGTAACAATGTAAACGGCAACAAGAGGAAACAGCGGAAAACTTTTGTGTGCTCTTTAGAATATAAGAGAAAATAAACGCTTAACAAATTAAATTAATTAAATACTGCTTAGGGAATGCGCAAACGGCATTATATAGAATATGCTATTAACGAGTTGGATGAAGAGTATAGAGTATAGAGTATAGAGTATACAAGTACAGTTGTGTCATTTACCCTACAATGCTGATACTCTTTTGAAAGCATGTTCTCATTTGACATTAATTGGCAGATCTGAAATGCATTTCTTGTGGTTAAACAGGCGATACGAATGTCAGCTCTTCGCGGCCACAATCCGCAAGCCACAGCCCTCAGTCAATGCAATGTAAAATTTTTTTGTTGTCAACTGTTCTGTCATTTTGGCCGACAGATGGCGCTTGTGCGCAAATATGCATGCCATCTACCTTGCTGGCTTTATAGACTTACTATTGTTTTATTTGCGCTGTCCACTCAGAAAAATGTTGTATCAGTAAAGGCGACAACAAAATACACTGAGCTTTTAATTATTGCTGCCTTTTTATCATAAAACACAATATTAAGGTAAACGTGTAACATGTATTTTCGCAAATTAGCAAAATACCTTAATACCGTACCGCATAAGTGTTACTATTCGTCGCTAGATGGCGCCTGCACAGCTGTACTGACCGTAATTGGAGTGCAAGCAATTGTAAACTAGTTCAAATCGCCCAGGAGATGGGGTAAAAAAGCATTTGCTGAAAGCCATCTACCATTGCGCTAAATGAGCATTGTCTGTCCAGACTAATAAAGTATTCGCAGCTACACTTTGATGCAAAGTGCCCGTTTCTATGCAGTGCAATTAAAATCAGCGCCTGCATTCTGTGCTTGATTTGCACATAGAAATATAAATTTATGCACACGGATCGCTTCATTTCAAATCCAATG